CGTTATATGGGAGCTATAATAAAAAATTGGGCCGATATCGCCAAAAGTACCAAATTACAGACAAAATGCCGAATATTGGGAGTACCGTTATATGTGGGACTACCTCGAAACTTGAGACAATATTAATAATTTTTAGTAATTAGGTTCGCTATACATTAAAAAAAAACCCATAATACCAAATTACAGAAAATTCGGTTGAAAACCATGTCCAAAATCCCCCTATATATCTCATTTTCATTACAAAACATCCAATCAAATCTCTATCTTTAACATTCTAATCACTATCGTGATTTCGACATAGATTTTTACTTTGATCAATTATATATTCATATTCTTTCTGGGGTCTCCAGTGTTGCAAAGGGAATGATAAATTTAATATACCATTTACCTTATGGCAGAAGGTATAAAAAGCTTACATAGCACAGGGCTGACATTATGTGGAAGTCGTATAAACATATTGGAAAATAATCTAATTAAATCCGAATCCTAAATTATTATTACGGCTCTTGATGTGTAGATTATATGACGTTATTTAAATTTATTTTCCATGAATGCAATAATTACAAACATAAAAATTTTATCCAAGGAAATTTTAGAAGGCGGGTTCGACAATTGCACCGCGTATATCTCAAGAACAAAAATAAAATATCCTCGCACAATGAATTTATTTTCTATAGATACAAGACTCGGTCATAATCATCAAATTGTAGATAATCAGAAATGTAATGCTGCTTTATGTGAATGTCATGGTATTACAAACGATGTGTTTTGGTCCAACCCAACAGAAACTTCAAATATTTTATACTGCAGAGATTTAGTTTGAAATGTGTGCTATAGCTTCCGATGTAACGATCCAGATCGGTATATGGGACAAATATAAAAAAGTTTATCTACACCAATAATTTTCATGCATACTTCTTAGCCAAAATTGTTTAGGCAAGTATGAATAGAAATTGAAGAACAAATGCAAAATACCGAAAATAATTCCTTAACAATATTGCTAAGGCAAGACAACGTTTGCCGGGCCATCTAGTATATATATATATATATAATGAAATGTAATGGAATTAATTTTTTTTCAAAACTACAATGAAACTAATTTTTTCATTGTAAAAAATTGCGGATGCCTCTTTTTTGAACACCTGATTGTATATGAAGGAGTTGCCAGATCGAAACAAAATTTAGCATGTTTTCATAACTGAGATGGAAGTTTCCAATACACTTAACTTTTTTCTGTTTACACCGCGCATTTTGTATAGTCTAAGAACTTTCCGAACTGCCCTCATATGTGGGTTATACCGGAGACTGTGGCACCTTCAGCATCGGGGCACATTCGGCAACCGCATTTCGATATGAAGCTCTCACTGTACATTACTGGCTTCGATCCATAGGTACCGAATATCAAAAAAATAACTGTTTGAAAGTTTGAAATCTCTAGCTAATAAACTTATTTTGATGCACGTTTTTTTTTGTATTTTTACAGATGTTTTGGTAATATTTCCATTCCATTTCGTAAGTATTTCGTGCATAAAACTTTTAAAATTTTAAGGCAATATTATTAAAAAGTCATTAATTACATTAATTGTATATTCTTATAAAAATAATTAAAGATGTAATGTTTTTAGAAGATTGCTAGAAAAAAATTAAAAGACAACTATAAAAAGTACTTCGGGGTACATTTGGCATTTTAAAGTGGGCAAATTCGGCCATATACAAATAGTGCGATATTACCTATATAGGACCAAACGAACTTGTATTGACGAAAATTCGGAAGAAAAAATTTATTTCTGATGGTTAGTGTGACCTTGAGACGTGAACGTCCGCTGCTAGAAAATATAGCCCTAAAATTCAAACATTGTGTCGCGTATTAAAACCAAATAGAGCCTCTAGAGGATCTGAATTTCAACGAGACTGATAGCGATGATAATTACCAGGCTATGACTATGGTGCCGAATGTGCCCCATCAAATGCCGAAGCTACCCCGGGTTGGGGCACATTCGGCGAATTAGACTTTTTTTACAAAACTGTAAAAATTTGTAACTAATACTAATTTTTTTGTATCCTTTTGGTATTAGTTTTTATAATTAAGTGTCTGAGGACAATAATCAGCCATAACGTTTTAATATATGTTGAAAAAGTACTGAGATATAGAGCTCTAAACAAAAAGTGCCAAAGGTGCCCTAGTCTCCCCTACTGAGATATAGTTCTCTAAAAAACGTGCCGAATGCGCCCCAGTCTCCCCAACCTACATCTGAATCAAAACAACAATCGGAAGAACGTTGAGTATTTAGTGCAATTTTCAGATACAAATTAACGAATATAAAGTGGTGGTAACGTAATTAAAACATTAACAGGGGTAAACTTTTTTTAATCAGTCCTCTATTTGTTTAAAGTATTTTTGATTTTGTAATTCAGAATACTTAGATATATTGTACTTAAGAAATTTAGTGTGAAAATAGGAGATTATTGCATGCAGTTTTTCCATAAATAACGGGTTTTTGAAAAATATCGACTTTGAAGTGGTCACATAATTAAAACATTGTGTGATTTTTTACTTTGTTGTTTTCTTTACGATTTTTAAAAAATTCCTTAAATTTGTTAAATTAAACTAAGGACCGATAAAATCATTTACAGATAAAAAAAATGTGAAAAGAATATGTAAAATCTATCAAAATGGGCAAGAATTCTGCAGTACACCTAACATTATAGAAAATAAAGGTCCGAATGTACAAGAAATTGCTGGAATTAGTAGAAAACAATAATAATTTCTTAAAATAAATAAATATTTGAAATAAAAACTTAAAGAATTAACCTAAAGGAACGATTCGATTTCAAAAGCCTTGATTTTTCCCAATTTCAATAGGGTTCGTCCTTGGGCCAAACAAATGAGCTGTGCCAAATTTCATCCAAATCGGATCATAAATGCGACCTGTACTTTGTTTACAATTTAACACCAACAGACGGACAGACGGACGGACGGACGGACATGCATATAAATTGATTATTGAAGATGACCGGAATATTTTTGCCGTATATAAAGAAATATCGATTAATATTGGCATTTGTTATATCAAAACGATTGTTCGAGAATGAACAGAGATAAACGACTATGTTGATCAATAAAAGTTTCTGGCACACAGCAGAACTTTTGATGCTCAACACAAGATTTTAAATATTGGTCAAACTTTAAAATTTTTCTGTTATTGGTCAACATAGGCGTTTATATCTGTTCATTCTGTTGTGACTGATATTATATATTTCTAGATTAAATATATTTATATTTTAACTACTCGAACAATCGATTTGATATAATAAATGTCAATATTAAATGGACCCCCCATTCTCGATGTCAAAAAAATTTTATTTAGTTATTTGAATCTATACTAATTCAAGAATGTCCCTACAAAATTTCAAGTTAAAATCTCAAGAACTCTTGAAGATATAGTCGCTTTATTGTGTCAGCATCAATTGACGACAAGAAGGCTTCTCAAACTTTAAACGCATTTTTCTCGAAACAGTGTTTTACGAATGGCGGGCACGATAATTCAGAAACTAATAATCCAATAGGTTCCAACTCGTTTCTCTGTGAGTGTATAGCTATCGTAGGAACTAGGATAACGCTAATCTATGAAGAACTTCCTAATTTTTTAACTAATTTGTAGTCAAAAATAGGCGAATTTCGAAAAAAAGTCAATAATTCTAGTTCATACGAGATCCGGATTCCAATGTTCCAGTGAACAGTTATCATGCCCGCCATCAAAAATGAGGCCATTTTTGATCACCAAAAACAACAACAACCAAATTTTGTAAATTATTTTTCTTCTCTTTTAAATCTTCAATTATATATGTAAAGTTACAAACCTTGATATGCATTGGCATTCATTAACCAGCCCAATGAAAATCTTGAAATTTTAAAATCGAGAATGGGGGAAGATCCCCTTAATCAATATTTCTTCACATACTGCAAAAATTATCCGGCCTTCTTCAATTTCAAAAATATTTACCCAACAAATTCAAAGGGCCTAAATATTTTCATTATTGATTTAAATTTTATTTTAAAATGAACTAACAATTTTAAATTATACTTTTAAATATTTTTTTTTTCGAAATTTTAACAATTATCAGATGTACGTTAGGATGTTGTTATTGATAGGAAGCAAGCACAGTAAGCCTGCTCGAATATTACCAAATGCCATAATGTACAAATCAGCAAGGTTGGCTAGCTCTCTTTAACGAAACGCACACAGCTATTTGGATGCTTTTACTAGCTTCGGTGACCAACCATAAATGTCGTCCCATCCAAAACACATAAACACATGTGCAAATTAATACGACCGAATTCGCTTCATTCGTGTGTCTGAAATGAAGCAAATTCGTTAATACATCACATGTGTGCTTAATGCATGTCGTGATAAAACATGGTTGACGCAGAGCCTTGAACAGCGAACGCTGCCTTCATAGCATTTGAAGAGGACAAGTCTTATAGGAGTTTGCGCCTTGCAGTTTTGCTAGTATGTGTTACAGTAGGATAGTGATGGAGTATTTTAGTGCTAAGGATGATAAGTAACAAGTTGTTGTCCCAGTAAAGTTTCTTACCGTCCTCAAATTATAGATAGGCACATGTTTGTGCTTATATATGTATCTACGTATGAATGCGTGTATAAGCAACATCATTTAAAAATTTGTTTGCATCCACTATGTATACACATACATACTACTATGTGTCCTAACACTGCATATTTCATACTGTTTGGAGCAATTGGCATGAAGGGAAGATTATTCGCAGAAGAAAATTATAAACAAGTGACGACGATTTCACAACTAGTTTCGCGGATAAACTCGGAGCGAAGAGTTCGTTAAGCACAGCAGCGGAAATCGCTTATGCATAAAAGCCCTCCAAAAGTTTGAAATTGTTTAAACATAACGGGAGCTCTAAGCAAATAATAAAAACCCAATTTTGAAATTTAATACGGATTTGACTTGGTTTAAGGAACATTTACAGTACAGTGTGTTCTACCATGGATACATCAGTTTATCGCCACATGAACATTGGCATGAACACAAGAGGAAAACGTCCCCTGCGTAATATGACACCGAGTGATAAGGTGCGGGCTATTCAACGCATCCACAATGGCGAGACTAAGGCGTCTGTCTCGAGAGACATTGGAGTGCCGGAATCTACGTTAAGAGGTTGGTGTAAAAATGAACAAAAGCTTCGATTCATGTGTCGTCAATTGGATACAACGGACCAACTCAACTTTCCGCTGGGCATGGAAAACCCTCCAGAGAAACGTTTTCGTTGCAACAACCATATGCAGTCTGCACATGCTTCTGGTGACTTCCTCTATAGTCGGTTGTCGCTGAACGGCTTCCAGTTCTCGCCAAACAATAATTTTATATTAGAAAAGAATCCAATAACTGAAATCATCCACAAGCACATTGATGCTGAAATTAATCAAAAGCACATTAAGGATACGTTTATCCAACAGACTAATCTTATTATGCCAGATTCTAGCTTATTGAATCGAGAGTGTCCTCAACTACCTTTACTCGCGAATTCCAATTTTCTGCCCATGCTTCGTTCCAGCTCAGGTCATCAAAATGATTCATGTTCCTTCGAAGTTGAAAAAGTGAGGACCACATTACGAATGCCTGATGTATCCAAAATCAATGTGCCCCTGAATAGTAAAACTAAAATTGGTAGTAACTGTTCGTCATCTCTTGGAATGAAGGACTTGCTTCAAACAGACATAATTTCTAAAGCAAGCAACATTGCCGCAAATGCCAAAGAAAATAAAATAAAGTCGATAGGCCCATTAGTAGCTGAAATTCAGAACAAATCTGGATCTAGTTTAACTCCGTTCCAAATACCAAATTCAGTAAATGGTGACACGGAAAGTAATTTGCTCGAATGGTGTAAATTTTTCAATGCAAGCCTAAACTTCTTGGCCCTGGCAGCCGCCGCTGCATCATTGCACCCCAACACTTCCTGCTCTATAAGAGGCGCTAGTGCCAACAGTATGCTTCCAGCGGATAATGTTAAGAGCCCTGACAATGGAAAGTTAGACATATCAATCGAACAAAGTCCAATTCCTGCAATATACGCAAATAGTGATTTATCAAACGACAGTTATTTTGACAGCGAACCGGAGGACTTATCAGTTCGTTCTATGGCTTCCAAACATTCTAGTTCATCGAATAGTCGATCTGAAAGTCCGGGATTGGAATCTTCGTTTCCACAACAAGTTACATCCGTTCCAAATACTGTGTGCCCATAAGCTGAATTGCCTACCCCGAATGCATAACATGTACATAACTTTAGGTTAAATAGAAAAACTACTATTAAACTTAAAAATATCAACTAATATACTTATATGAATATATGTAATAGTCTACTTTCACTTTAGAATTTCTGTCATATTACCATATATCATTCCTACTAGATTTTTGTATATGTTCCAACTAACAACTGTAATTATCAGATATATAAAAAAATTAAAATAAACTTACTTTCAACAGTCAACATTTCTTTTAGTTTGATTGATCTATTAAAAATGCATGATCCAGTAATTTGTTTATGATATATCATGCAATTTCCTGACAACGAAAATAAATGTTTTTTTTTTTTTTTTTTTTTTTTTTTGAAGCCTACAGCCATACATTTCGTTACGATTTCTGTCATTATTATCTTTTATTTAAAAATATAGAAGTGTTCAAAATATAACTTACGGGATCTTGGTACGAGGTTGTGGTTGATGACATTTTAACAAGTTTCCTGCCCAATGGTCGACATCAAAGAACGAGTCAACACATCGGCGCATGAGATTGGATATACTTACAAATTTTATGTAATGTTATAGTTAGTCGTTTATAATATATTAAGATCCATGATTAAGATTTTGTCTATGTAAAGTTCACTAAGTGTGTCTCGGGTCATTGAAGATGGGGGGTATGTAAAGTACGGCCTGGACGAACTTAACGATATTTTTGCTTGTTTTTAATATTGGTGGTATATACATAGTTGGTTGTTCTTTTTCGAGTTGAGCTTAAGGATTGAATTTTGCTATGAAAAGCGAATCCCACTATTTCTATAGAGCGAAGATTTAATGTTTGTGCTGGCCATTATAAAACCCTGATTTTTAATCCCGCAACCAATGTTTGACATGGGCCCCGGCCACCCCGAAATTATTTTTTCAGAGTAAATTTATGTTTGCAACAACGAATTTATTCATTTTGCAGTAGTGGGAACCAGTGTATGTTATATAGTTCACATCAATTAGTGGCTGGTGTTATTTTTTCTTTTTTTACAATAGAAGGCATGGTTTTAACGATTGTAATTTGTTGATAATACTTCATTGAAGTATATAATAAATAATGTTTATATATATATATATATATTATGTTTTGGTAATTTGTAGGAACTTGACATGCTGACAATTGGAAAGAGATTAACTTTAAATCAATGACATAGAAAAATGTATTTGGAAACCCAAATGCTTGGTCGGACACAATTTGATGTACAGTGCCGGCCACCTAATTAACACACACCTGAAAGGTATGTGCTAATTATGAAAGCCAGTCATATTTGAAGGGGACACGTAATTAGCACATATTCTTTCTATCTGAATGAAAACTTTACATTCAGTCAAAATTTAGAGAATTTGAGTCGATCAGCAAAATATCAGCTGTGTGATATAGACTTGTCAACATACCCCTATATCCATTATCATTTGGTTTCGACTGATATTTTTTTCTACAAAATACTTTTTGTTCTACTCAAACGACTAATTTGATATTACAAATGCTATTAAAAATGAAATTTCCTCACATATGGCGAAATTATACAGTTTTTCTTCCTCGAAGCCCTTCAAAGTCAAAGTGAATTTCAAAATTTGAGTTTTTTTTCGAATTTTGTTTATTTTTATAAATCGATCTCTAGTTATTCTAACAATTTCAGGGCCATTCGCATCTTTCTTTTTTATACAAATGCTGACTTTCCCAATATTAAGTTTACTGTACGAATTGTTGCCAATTTAATATTACAGAAATTTTTAAACTTTTTCATCAGCAAATGATTCATAAGACTTAATTTGATAACACGAAGTAGTTTTTTGTATACATTTCTTAACCCTTTGCGGCCCGAATTTTCACCCGTGAAAATAGAACTATTTTCTGTGTAGAGATTTAATGTAACTACCCTAAATAGGATATGAACAAAATTTGACGTCGCTAAATTCTTGCATTAGTGAGATACGGTACCTTCTTTCCGAAAAATAAAAGTCCAATATAAACAAAAGCATATATTGCATCGACTAAAAAATTACTTTTAATTATTCTTTACGTTCTTTTTTACAAGACTCAACAACAATTTGGAGGGTACAATTCGTACATTTCGAATATGAAGCGATTTAAATATTTTGGACTGTATACACAAATTGGTACTATACATATTTTTGCACTCATCTATGTATTGAAAAGCGTATAACTTGACCAAAAGTTTGAATTTTTTAGATTTTTCTTTTGATATGTGTCGTCCATAATCAGCTCTTAACATATGTAATCCAAAAAAATATATATTTACTTACCGCGTATTAAATATAAGATCTAAAACATTTTGTTGCCTATGGGCAACATTGGGCAATAAAGGGTTAATATCAACGGCATTTGAGTTTAAAATTCCAAGATGTGCTAACTACGTGTCCCCCTCAAATTTGACTTGCTTCATAAATACCGTTATATATCACAAATTTCCAGTGATAATTTTCTGTTCTCATACTTAACCACTCTAGCACAGTACACATAAGTGTTTTTAATAAAAATTATTTAAAAATATTCCAAACGAATCGAGTGTAATTCAAAACAGTTTTCTCTTCAGGTGTGTGCTAATTATGTGACCGGCACTGTATATGACCGAGTCATTAAGCGGTGCAATTATCGATCCGTCTCACCAACTATATTTAAAGTATAACTGGATTTGTCCGAACACTATATCTGGGGTTCCTGAATGTGATGATCAATGTTCAATTGATTTTCGAAGTGAAATCCATATTTTTGACATTGGTCAATACGTTGAAACCGGACTCCACATACTGCTTATGAGTTTCAGTCACAAATAAAATATGAAAAAAGAGAACATTTCAAATAAAATGACCAAAAGGTACTTAAGTATTGTTGGCGGGTATTTGATAAACAATTTGTATTTTGTTTTTTGCAAAATAGACAGGCTAAACCCCAGTTTGTTGTTTTTAACAAAAACAACTATTTATTAGTGTGACAGAGATGACGTTTAATAGTTTCTTTACTAAAACTTTCATACCCAACAGCAACAAATGCCTTGTTACCCGCGAAGTGAGGCACCAGCGAAATTCTCATATATTTTATTTCCTTGGTTAGCTAAGTACTTCGTTACTTCTTGTTACAAGAGAAATTTGGGTATAAAAGTTTTTTTTATTTTCTTTTTTTTTTGTGAAGAATCTATTAATAGCTTCTGGGGATTCCGGAATACTGTCGTTAGACGCAGATAATCCGGAAATTTGTTGGGAATGGAAATCTTAGAAAAAGTGTGGAGAGTACAACCAAAAATGCAACATATTAATTAATTAATAGAAATAATTGGAGAATACACCCAGAAGTCTATTGTTGAAGAAGTGAAAAGTGGTGTATTAGCGGATGAAACTACGGATATTTTCGGAAAGGAGCTGCTAGCAATATGTATTAGATTTTTCAACATGGTATCCATAATAAACACAATAATCAAATTGGGTTTGAATCGAACATTTTAGAGAGGTCAAAGATATGACGGCGCGTCGAATTTATAATAGAGTGCAGGCCATATTAAATCAAATTTCCTTTCTGCAGTATAAATTCATTTTTCCTCTTACATGTCGGAAATTTGCTCATTCTTTCGAAAATCTCCAAAAAGGTCTGCTACTTTATATAGAACTAGCTAACCCGGCAAACGTTGTCTTGCTTTAGCAATACTGTTAAGGAATGATTTTCGGCATTTTGGGTTTATTTTCCAAGTAATATGCGTGAAATTTTTTCATATAGATAAACTTTATATATATCCTTCCACATACTACTGCAAAAATAATTGACAGTACGAGTCGTGAATAAGAATCCGTTTTGTTAAAAAATTTAAAAGAAGGCATAACCACCTCTATTGAACAGAATTCAACCCACATTGACTTACTTTAATAGATTACCGTTAAAACAGATCTTGTATAATTATGCCATGGTACAATAACAAGCGGTAGAATTAGTTGACGAAATAAAAAAAAACTGAGGTCAAGTGTAATGTCTTGTAGTGTGATACTTACTTATAAACATATTCAACAGGTAAAGAAAATATATGGAAATATTATATTGATTTTCACAAATGGGATTGCAAATATGATTCTAAAAACATTTCTTTCCAAAATTTGGATAGATTTTTCTCAGAATACTGTAATGTTTAATTTTAAATACAACTGACATGGCTTAATTAAGGAGAAAATCATAATGGCAACCTTTTTTAAAATGGAATTCATATATCAATTTCAAATCAAATGAAAAATAAATTCCAAAAATTGTATGTATGTATGTCGATTGACATATTTACAGTAAATCGGTCAAAATATATTTCCTAAAGCTACACATTGCTATCAAAATTCAACATAGGTTGTTAAGGGCCCCATACGCTATACATCATGCCGTACAGCATTTATCATAGTATGTGTTTTTTTGAAAGTTTATTTATGTATGTGTGACACACACAATGCATGAAGATAATCAAAATAGTTTTGATTTTGAAAATGAACCCCTATCAATCTGGTAAATAATATTCATTTTGAAAGTTGTCAGTAAATAATTTTGTGTACAAAAATAATAAAATTGTGACGGAATAAAAAACAACTGAATTTACGACTCAAAATGCAATTTTTGGGATTCATCGGCATGACGGCATGATATATAGTGTATGGGGCCCTTTAAACCTATATTTATAAATTTTAGATGCAGGGAACTTAAAAATATTTATAAATATACTAACAACTATGCATTTTAAAATCAAAGAAATCGCAACAGAAGTTCGTTGCCCTGTGGTTTACGATTTACTTCAATTTCCTAATGTGAACATTTGAAGCAGAAAATCATTTTGCAATGAAATATTCAATGATATATTTCAATGACTCAATTGGAGGAAAGATCTGGAAGCTATAGAATTAAAAATTTGCAAGATTTTCATTCATGTTTTTCAATTTTATTTTGAAAATTCAAAAAATATTATATTTTAAAAATA